AAAACTATCTAAGTCATTTCTCAGATTTAGTAAACTTTATGTATTAATTAATTAATTTATTTATTTTAAATATATGTAACCTGAGTAATAAAGTTTCATATGTATGTACAAAGAACAATGGGTCATACATTACCTTACATCATCTAGCTTTTGTTATAATTTCATTTTTCAGTAGGTGTTTTATTGGATTCATTCAAGTGTTTGTAGTACATTTATTATAGAGGTGTTTCGGTTAGGATACATTTTATTTAACTACAATTTTTAAAAGATGCTTATGTTTGAATACGTTTTAACTACAATTTTAAAACATTTTTCCTGCCATTCCAATAGACTTTTTTTTTTTTTTTTATATATTATTTAAGGAAAATTTTTGACAATGACGGCATATAATAGCTATTTCATTTCTCTGATTCAGTAAATTTTTATTTTTTATAAACTTAGTAATATATAGTTTCTCTTGTATGCATAGAGGACACGGGTCGTTTAATGATCTACAAATTCTAGCTTTTCTTATTAATTTCCATTTTACTGTAGGTGTTTTATTTGATTCTTTTAGATGCCAGAAATATTTTGAGAGAGATGTTTGATTTTTATATCTATTTATTCTAAATGAAGTTTGATGTTGGTTGAATCTTTTTTTGAATTCATGGCTAGTGCAACCTATATATATTTTTATGTTATCAGGACTTTCAATCGAAGAGATATTGCATTGGTATACTAATGATTCAGTACGACATTTATTTTGTAGTGGGCAATTTTGAGGGTTTCTACAGTTACATAGTTTTAGTTTATTTCCATCAGTTTTTATCTTAATTTTTCCATTGTCTAATTTTTTTTGGTTTTGGTATAAGTGTTTATTTAAGATATTAGCATTATGGTTCTTAATGATTTTTTCTAAGTTTTTTGTACAGCTATAACTTAATTTTAGTGTGTTTTTATTGAAAATAGTACTTAGTTTACTTTCACTAGGAAAATGCAAGGAATTTATGTCCTAATCTGTTCTTTACCATTTGGTTATATGGGGGAGTATACCAAATAATTTTTCTATATCTGTTTTTTCTATGCTTTCCATTTTCATTTTTTATATAAGCTAGATTTGGGTTTTTGTAGCCACTATCTTTTAGAGCCTTATTATAGCAATTGATATGCTCATCAAAAATCTTGTTATTTGCTGAATTTGTACTAATTCATTTACTGATAGATAACGGTATATGTTTAATTATAGATGGGGGGTGATTTGATTTAGGATGTATATATAAAGGATTGGTGTTGGGTTTTTTATAAAGTGTGTATGTATTTTTATTTAGATCTAAAGTTATATCTAGGAAGTCTACTTTTTTTAATTTTGTACTAACTGTAATTTTTAAGCCCATGCTTTTAAATTCTTTATATAATAACTTTCTAATTCTATCTATTTTGAAGTTCGTTGAGTTTCTAATAACCATAAGCCCATCATCTCTGTACAAACCAATATCATTTGTATTAATTTCATAGTGTGCTGTAAGGTTGTATAATATAAAGAGGCCAATGAGATCAGAAGACTCAGCTGAGTCTAGTGATCCCATTGTGATGTCAGATTGGTCGCAAGAATTCTTAACCCATTCCTCACCTTTATGTATAAGTACTGATTTTTTTGCATACAGAATAATGTTCCTTTCTTCATCTGTATTAATGTATTAATGTATTAATGCTCTGTAAATTTACATTGAGCACTATTTTGTAAAAATAAAAATATCTATAAGAACACCGGATTTTATATCTTACTGTTCTTTCTTTTTATTTATATATATATATATATATATATATATATTTTGTATGTAAACATATTTATATACAATATATATGTATACATATATATATATATAATCTATGTATACATATATAAAGTACATATATTTAAACTGCATATATATATAGATACATAGAAAGAGTGAGAGATAATGGTTGTATATATATATATATATATATATATATATATATATATATATATACAATGTATCACAAAAAGTGAGTACACCCTCACATTTCTTCAAATATTTAAGTATATCTCTTCATGGGACAACACTGACAAAATGACACTTTGACACAATGAAAAGTAGCCTGTCTGCAGCATATATAACAGAGTTAATTTATTTTTCCCTCAAAATAACTCAAAATATAGCCATTAAAAGCTAAATCCCTCGCAACTAAAGTGAGTACACCCCTTAGGAAAAGTTGTCAATATTAACATACAACATGTCAACTGTCAATATTTTGTGTGGCCACCATCATTATCCAAAACTGCCTTTACTCTCCGGGGCATGGAGTTTACCAGAGCTTCACAGGTAGTCACTGGAATGCTTTTCCACTCCTCAATGATGATGTCGTGGAGCTGGCGGATATTTGAGAATATGCGCACATCCACCTTCTGCTTGAGGATGGCCCAAAGACGTTCTATTGGGTTCAAGTCTGGAGACATGCTTGGCCAGTCCATCACCTTTACCCTCAGTCTCTTCAGTAAAGCAGTGGTTGTCTTGGATGTGTGTTTGGGGTCATTGTCATGCTGGAACACTGCTTTGAGACCCAGTTTCTGGAGGGAGGGGATCATGCTCTGCTGCAGTATTTCACAGTACATGTTGGAGTTCATATTTCCCTCAATGAAATGTAACTCTCCAATACCTGCAGCACTCATGCATCCCCAGACCATAACATTCCCACCACCATGATTGACTGTAGGCATGACACACTTATCTTTGTACTCCTTACCTGGTCACCGTCACACATGCTTAAGGCCATCAGAACCAAACAAATTAAATTTTGTCTCATCAGACCATAGGACATGGTTCCAATAATCTATGGGCTTTGTTGACATGTCTTCAGCAAACTGTTTGTGGGCTTTCTTGTGTATTGCTTTCAGAAGAGGCTTCCTCCTGGGATGACAGCCATGCACACCAATTTGATGTAGTGTGCGGCGTATGGTCTGAACACTAACAGGCTGAATCCCAATCTCTTTAATCTCTGCAGCAATGCTAACAGCACTCCTATGCCAATCTTTCAAAGAAAGCATTTGGATGTGACGCTCAGCACGTGCGCTCAGCTTCTTTGGACGACCTACCAGAGGCCTGTTCTGAGGGACCCTGCTCTTTTAAAATGCTGGATGATCTTAGCCACTGTGCTGCAGCTCAGTTTCAGGGTGTTGGCAATCTTCTTGTAGCCTTGGCCATCTTTATGTAGTGCAACAATATGTTTTTAAGATCCTCAGAGAGTTCTTTTGCCATGTGGTGCCATTTTGGAACTTTCAGTGACCGGTAAGAGAGAGTGTTAGAGCTGCACCACAAATTTGAATACACCTGCTCCCCATGAACACATGGGCATAGTTACACTAATGAGTCACATGACATTTTGGAGGAAAATGAAAATCAGTACTCAATTTAGACATTTAGGGGTGTAGTTTCTTAGGGGTGTACTCACGTTTTAGGGGTGTAGTTTCTTAGGGGTGTACTCACTTTTGTTGCCAGGGATTTAGCTTTTAATGACTATATTTTGAGTTATTTTGAGGGGAAAAAAATTAACTCTGTGTTATATATGCTGCAGACAGACTACTTTTCATTGTGTCAAAAGGTAATTTTTCAGTGCTGTCCCACGAAGAGATATACTTAAATATTTGAAGAAATGAGAGGGTGTACTCACTTTTGTGATACACTGTATATATATACATATATAATGTACATATATATATATATATATATATATATATATATATATATATATATATATATATATATATATAGTACAGGTAATAATAGATTTGTTGGTAAACAATCCAGGTGGAGTTTAGTAATATCAGATATTAAAACTGATTCACAGAGAGAGCTCAATGTACATATTACAACAGTGCATATATTATACAACAAAAAAATCCAAAATTACCTCTGGTAGGTATAGTCTATTTCAAACCAGCACAACCTTATGCCAGTGTTCTTCAGCCCTAGACTGACTGTCTTGGAATCAGACTAGGGGTGAAAAAGACTGGCGTAAGGTTGTTCGAGTTTGAAATAGACTATACCTACATGAGGTAATTTTGGATTTTTAACTATATATATATATATATATATATTGTTATCTACAGACAAACAGTTTCACTGTATCACAGCTCATCAGTGTAGCTAGACATCTGATTGCCTCAAACCAAGATCAAAATTTGACTGATTTAGCATCAGTCAGAGATTTTGCCCCTGTTTTATCAGTGCCTGATAGAGAGGGAGGTGAATTTTTATGTACCTATTCTTTGAATAAGCACACCATTGACTGGAGGGATCAATACATGGAAGTGCATTGTATTATTAGTGGTCATTGTTTACAAATTTGCACTTTCTCTCCAGAGTGCTTGAATGGAATTAGGTTTTCCAGGGCATATATATTGTCATCCACATATATACATATATATATATATGTATACATTTTATATATTTATCATGTATTCTTGCATATACATATGTATGTATACATATTTATATACAATATATGTATGCATATATATATATAATCTATGTATACATATTTGAATTATATATTATTTATATATATATATATATATATATATAAAGTGTGCATATATATATAGAGAGAGAGATGATGTGTATATATATATATATATATATATATATATATATATATATATATATATATATATATATATATATCATGTGTATAATATTCATTGGTTTACAGTGACATTACTCCAGTGTAATCATTTGACAAATGTTTAATTGATGAAAAATATTGAATTCCTCTAAATAACTGACAGGTGGTTGAGAAACAAAAGGAAAGATTTCTGTCAGTAGAGATCAAGTGGGAAAAGATTTTATGCAAATTTTGGAAAAATTCTTTATTAACTGAATGCTATATATATTCTTTTTTAATAAGTGAATTCCGGCTTTTCATATCTAGAGGCAATTTTAGAATTGATAATTTGCATTAATACAAATTTGTCATTAAATGATGCAAAAGTAATCCACAAAATGAAATGCAGCTGCATGAGATATTCTTTAACAAATCTCTGTCTATTCCAGTCTCATCTATCTATCTATCTATCTATCTATCTATCTATCTATCCTAGTCTGTTATATATATCTATCATCTATCTATCTATCTATCTATCTATCTATCTATCTATCCCAGTCTTGTCTCTAAATTAAAATTATGGGAACTTGAATACTTCATGGAAAGAGAATGTTTTATTTGGACTCCTTCATTGTCCACATATGTGTTCTATCTCAAATGGTCCCTCAGCTACCCCTTTTCCGGTTGAAGAGTTGCTAAAGGAAGCAACTCATGCAAATTAGCTGTTCTTCCTTTTTTCTTCAGCATCAGGTGTGTATATTTCTATACAATTCTTGTTGATGAATATACAACATCATAGAGACAGGAATTGTCAGTTTAACATATAATCTACCTAGGATTTTTACTTTTTTACTTTCTTGACTCCTCTGTTTGCTTGTTTTATACATTCTACTTTTTTGTTTTAATACAGAATTTAATGCACTAACATCATAACTTAGATCAGGCTCGTTCTGTGTGGCTAGCCAATTAGGTTGACCAATCAGATGCTGAGTCTCAGTTAATACTATTGTGGATATAGTTTCTTTCAAATTTCTGCCTACTTTGACTTGGATATATCTTAACATTTTACATATTCATTCTGTCCTAGTTTGATATTATCTCCTTTTTTCTTTATGCTTAATTCTATTTATTGGAATTTGGCAACTTCTTCAGATTTAACTTCAAATAGATGACGAATTTTGTTTGGAATTATGGTTTGAAAGATTTCTGTTCCTGCAAAGCAGAAATCATCAACATAGGCAGCAATTATACCCTGCAGTTAGTTTCCAAAATGCCATGTTAATATTACTTGGTCATATTTTGAAACTCCCACTACTAATTTAGTTAATTCATCCTTGAATCCAGAATCTTGAAGCATCAGTCAGACCATATACCCATATATATAAGAGCTTCCAGATATAACCTGGAGGTATACTAGTATCTTTCAGAAGATCCAAATTAATTCATCCTTGCGTGTCAGGTACCAGGATCTTGAAGCATCAGTCAGACTATATACACATTTAGAGAGCTTCCACATATAACCTGGAGGTACATTGGCCTCTTTTAGAGGATCCAAATAAACCAATCAGTCTAACTGTTTATTCTATTGAAATGCAGTTTTTATGTCCATGGATTTACACATCAAATGGTTAGATGCCATGATTCCCAATGTTATGCTTAAACCTTCTTTAGAGCAGGTTGTAGAATCATTACTTATATTGTCATGGAAATCTCAAGCTATAAGTCTAGCTTTACAAATCTGTTTACCATTTGAACTTTTATAAGTATAAACCCATCTTGTGGATATCTTGGGTTGACCTTGGTCAAGAACTTTTATTTAAGCTTTATTTTCAACCCAAATTTGGAGCTTCTTTTTACCAGATCATCATTTAAGGAGGAAATCATTATATTTCCCTCATCACAAGAAGTGTTTTCATCTTCTCTTGTTGGCTCAACCTCAATTGCTTTCCATTTTGATATTCCATGCTAAAAGTTTCAACTTGTTCCATAGCTTCATTCATTAAGTGTTTCTTTCTGCCTCTTGCTTTGTCTACCCTACATAAGACATTCAATTTCCTCCATTTTGAATCATCATCATTGGCAAGCTTTCATTTAATAGTTTATCCAGGTTTTGGGAGCTCAGTTTTCTTAAGAATGGAATTTTTTTGGGTGGTCTGCTCCTTACTGTTACAATCTGATATTGTTCAATATTTTCATTTGGGCTTTCTTCATATACATTATTCTTTTCAAAAATTGATACTTTTGGCATTTTATCAGGTCTTATTTGTAAGGTGTTGAGTGTCTGTTCCATTATTGTGCCATCTTCAGAACTTTGATATGCTTCAGGGTCTAAATGGGAAGGATACACTCTCACATATGTACCACCATGTTTAACGATTACCTGCTTATGCTCCCACCCTATGACAGTTCCTGGACCCAGCCATCTATCACAATACGTTTCTTTTATAAACATTGCGTTGAGGTTGTTTGCAACAACTTCACTGGTAGAAATACCTTTTAATGCAGATAGTTTGTCATTTACAAAAGAAAGTAATTTGGGATTCTTGCCAAAAACAAATTGATTAGGACCACAACCATGGACACTGTGAAGTGTATTTTTGGCACTTCTGGCCCATGCAAGTACTACGTCAAAACTGCAACTTGTCTTCAATAGTTTTCTTCACCATTTCTCCCAGAATCCCATTGTGTCGTTCATTCAAACAATTGCTCCAGGGACTTTCAGCAGCAGTAGTGTGTACTACAATATTCAAGTTCTGTGCCATGTCCCTAAATGATTGGTTATTGAACTCTCTGACATTGTCCATGAGGATGGATCCTGGAGTTCCCAAATATGCTATCCAGTGTGTGAATATGACACTAAGAATGTCAGAACTTTTCTTGCTATGAATCCTGACTCCAACACTGTATCTTGTACGATGATCAATTAGATGCAATATTTTTTTTTATTAATTTCTTTTATGTTCATGGCAATGCTTTCATTAAAATATGATCCTAATGAGAAACCAACAAATGGAATGGGCCCAGTCTTTTTGTATTGGATGCATATTTCACATGAATTAGGAAGTTCTTGTAAAATTTTTATGAATTCAGGGTCTTTTATTCCTGCATTCTTAACTATATCACACAGCTTTTAACTAATTGGATGGCTGAATTGTCTATGTAATTTTGATGCAATTCTAATTTTTTCTGATCTGCTTTTGGTAGTAATTTCCTTAATGAAAAGTATTTGATTAAATTTACCTTGCTCTGGTGGAGGTCAGTTAATAGGGATGTGATAGTGACCAGATGAAGTAAACCACAGTGAAACTTTTTTAAGAATGATGACACAGTAATTTTCAAAATTGAGATATGTCTTGGCTCTTTTTATGGCACCTTTGCTTAATAAAAACAGAATGTCCATGTCCACAAATCAGTAACTGTTACAGGACCTTACCCATAATAACATAATGGACTATTCCATACGTAAGGGATAGCAGGGATATGTTTGCAATATATCTGTGTTATTCCATATCCATGTTCGAGTTCTTCTTTATTGGTTCTACCTTGGACTATCACCGTGGTACAAGGAACTTGACCATAACAGTAACAATACTGACATCAATTCCAGCACATGGTTGAGCGGGTGAGGAAAGTGATTTTAGTTTCATTCTATTGCTAAATTTGTACATTCTCAGTCTTTCTTGGACATTTATTTATTTTTGTTGTTGTATAGGAATGGTTTCCAGAAAATACTTATACCATTTCGTCACACAAACGGTTGCAGAAGCACCACTGTTTAGGACTGCTGAACCAAGTGGCTCACCCAAAAATGTTTGACCCTTGCTTTCCCGCTTTTGCTGACTTATCAGCCCAATTTTGGCTACAGATATGAAATCGTCCTTTTGACTACTATCTTACTTATTACTGGTGCTATCAGCGTACAGACAATTGTTACTCCAGTGGAATTTGCAGCCACTTGTGAAGCATTTGGTACTGTTGCCTTCAGGTTCAAGTGATCCTGAACTTTTGTCAGAAGATACCAGAATTTTATTCTGACATTCTCTTCTGCTTCTGTTCCTCACAATCAAAAAACCAAGAAGGACACCAGTTTGACACACAACCATGATATACTTAGTGACTTCTTGACTATTTTCTTTGTAGGCACAATCCATGTCTCTCGTTATCACAACTGGTGGAGTATTTGTTGATGAAGCATTGGAAAACTTTCTGTGCATAATTTTTTAAAGTTGTTTTGACATTGCAGACAGTGTTAATTCGCTGATGGTTGCTTTTACTAGTCACTTATTCTCAGGTGTCAGATTCACACTTTTTAATACTCTGTAGGCAAATAACAGCTCAGGTAATTGTATTTTGTAGTCCTATAACATTGCAACATTACAGTCAAAGTTAATAAGGCCTACTGACATGTCATTCTGTTGTTGATATTGTTTGAAAACTTTTATGTCATAAAACCTAACTGGTTAGCATCCTCTAAAAAGAGTGTATCCAACTTATCATATAATTGTTCCATTCCATCATTGGCATGTTGTAAGCCTCTCTGGCTTTTTCTTCCTTTATATCCTAATATATCAGTGACTCAAAATGGAGACACTTCTTGAAAGAAAAATTATAGCAACAGAAAGACAAAGATGGCAATGACAAAACCTATCTCAAGACCAAGTTGAAACAAGACAATCACTTAGTTGATAAAGGTATTTGAGTGCCTTGCAAGAAAGGCTTGAACAAATAAGACTGCAGTCTACAATAAGAGATTCTCAGAGCAATTAATTAAACAAAACCTTCACAAGAACCATAGTAATAGAAGAATTAACTAAACAGTTCATCGGTACCTTTTGTTTTAAGTTGCAAGTTTTGAAATGACTTCTGAGATTTGCAATGCCTGGATTGAGGCTCTTTTTACATTTTAGCCATTTAATATCAAAAATATAAAGACAACCAAGGAAATCTTTTTAAAATGAAATTATTACAAGTAACATAGTAACAAAGGAACTAATTGTGTAAATACTTCAGTGGCTTTACATTGTGAAAATTTGGTTTGGCTTATTTTGTTTTATGACATATCAACATCAATGGGTTATTTCATGCTGACAAGATTTTTAGAATAGGTTTGGATGAATTGAATATGTTTTCTTTATAAGAAATCAGTTTTTAATTCATTGATGTATTTTCATAAAGAATGTTTTTATCACGAGTCATATGTGCTGCTGGTATATTTTTTTTCAAAAATGTATTGCTGGTTAATATTTTCTTTTTTTTTAAAAAATGTATTGATGTATCTTTACTATAAAAATCTATTTTATACTTTCATGCTGTTTTGACCCTAGTTTGGGGGGTTAATTATTTGCCAAAAACTGGTACCCTAATCAGAGTGAACCAGGGAACAACAGTAATTAAGAGATGGTTCCATGTTCCTCAAAACCTCTAGATCAGAGGACTTGCTGCCAGATGATCATCATACCTAAGATGGTTAAGTTTTGAATTCTGAACCTTCTTTATGTAATATAATGAAATACGTACAATTGTTATGTTTGTAAATTTAATGAATGTAATGTAGCAAAAGATATTTTGAAGAAATCAAATAGGAAAGAACCAAATTAATTAAGTAATTAATTACGTGATTCACTGGCCTTTATTTTAATTGTGAATTTTAACTCACTACTTTATTGAATTGCCAATACATTGTTTCAAAACTTTTGTTTCATTGCATGTCAACATTAAAACATTCTAACAATCGCTGTAATTTTGACAGCACAGCTACACTAGTATACATATATATATATATATATATATATATATATATATATATATTATTAAAACATATTTTAATATTTTAATATATATATATATATTAAAACATATTTTAAATCAATTAATTTATAATATATATATATATATATATATATATATATATATATATATATATATATATATATATATTATAAATTAATTGATTTAAAATATGTTTTTTTTTTCACTACACAGTTCTAACCATGTTTCAAAAAAATTCGCTTGAGGATGAAATGGAACTAATGTCTTTAATTTAATTACAAAATTAAATTCGAAGCTTTTAGCTTCCATTTTTGAAACACGGTTAGAACTGTGTATCGAAAAAAAAAACATATTTTAAATCAATTAATTTATAATATTAATGCTCTGTAAATTTACATTGAGCACTATTTTGTAAAAATAAAAATATCTATAAGAACACCGGATTATATATCTTACTGTTCTTTCTTTTTATATATATATATATATATATATATATATATATAATTTTGAACAAGTTCCCCAGTATCACCCCAACCAAGGCAGTACAGCATCACTAGCACACAAGGGGTTACAGGTTGTGAAGGAATTACAAAGAGAAACATCAATACATGAAGAAAGAGAAAAGAGCAATCAGAACAGTAGATCAACATTGCATTTTAACTTTTGCAGATTAAAGTTGGCTGGAAAGTATGGAGCTGGAAGGGAGTTTGACAAGCAAGAAGTGTGCAAAAAGAAACAGTCAGCATAGAAATTATGGCCACATCTGGCTAGCTCAACTGTAAATTGATGTCATCTTGATGCCAGTCTAGTATTGTGCTTAAATTCATACAGTTTAGGTACCATAGTGAAGAAATCATCCAAACAATGACAATGAAAGTATTTATAAAAAAGGCACAGAGAAGTAACCTTACAGTGGTGGACAAGTGACTGAAGCCAAGCCACCAGATCAGGACCAATAATATTGCTAATTCTCCTTTGGATCTTATCAAGGAGCTTCAGGTAAATCGCAGGGGCACTAGGACATATATGGCAGTAATATTCTAAGCATGGGTGAATGACAGATATGAAAGAAAAATTGTCTCACTCAACACAGTGAATTCACTTTCTTAGCGGCTGATCTAGCAATGGATTCAGTCTAGTCTTTCCACCTCATGTCAGTTGAGAACATTAGCTCGAGAAGGCACAATGAGTCACTTTCTTGGAGGATAGCATCAGCCATACTGATGGAAGGCAGGAAGAGTAATTCAGATGATTAATAGAGAGAAGTTTTGTTTTGAAGGTGTTAAAATTCACAAGCCATCTTTTGTGCCATGTAATGATGGTCTTTTTACATCAGCTGCCATTTTTACCTTGTCGGACTGATCCATTACATTCACTTACATGCTATTACCCTTGGGAAAGGTATGAATCCTCTTCTTCTCCCCTCCCCCAGTTATGGGTAACTAGCAGGACAGACTGGGTTCTATAGTCTTGGATGGCAACTGGTCTACTGCAGAAAGAAATGGCAACCTAGTGTGGGAAAAAATTCTGCCTTGTCAGTCATGTATCGAAAGATACATGATTGCCTAAGCATGTATCCCACATGGCACATAACTGACTGACTGTAAAAGATATGGAATCCAAATAATTTGTCTATTTCTTTGATATCTATCAATAAAGTTTGGATCAGACAGGTTTTAAAATGTTGAAAACGAAGCTGCTATAAAATGAAATGGTTTCAAGTGAAATAAAGAGGCAAGTAATTCTTCTCTTCTATAAGTCATTTCTCAATGGAGTCCTCTCTTTAGTTATTCTTCTCATTAGCCATTCTTATCTTGAATCATTCCTCTTTTCAGTAATCCCTCTCTTCAGTCCTTCTTTTCAGTTATTCTTATCTTGAATCATTCCTCTCTTCAGTTCTTCTTTTTTCAGTCATTCTTTTTGTTAATAATTCCTCTCTGAAGTTATTATTTTATCACCAGCCATTTTTCAATCATTACCAGCTATTCTTCAATCAATACTTTTTTTTGGTAATTTCTCTCTTCAGCTATTTTTCTCGTCAGTCATTATTTTTAATAATTCCATTTTCCTTCAATCCTTTTTCTTCTCTTCATTAATTCTTTTAACCATCTCTCAATCCTTCCCCTTTGCAGTAATTCCTCTCTGCAGTCCTTCTTTTCAGCCATTCATATATTCAATCATACCATTTTTCCAGCATTATTCTTTTCAGCACACATTATTATCTACAATTATTTCTTCTTTCAGAAATTCTTCTCTTCAGTTTTTTTCTCACCAAACATTCTTCACTTAATCCTCATTTTAATATCCCCCCCCTTTCAGTTATTCTTCTCACCAATATTTCCTCAGTTATTCATTTTTTGTTAGTTTTTCTCTTTCATTATCTTCGTATTATTTGTTCATCAATCATTTCTATTTTCAGTAATACCACTCATTTCTCACTAATCTTTTATGTCAGCTATCATTACTCTTTTCTTTAATTACCTTCTTATCAGTCATTCCTCAATAAACCACCATTCATTTAAAATTTTTCTCTTTTTATTCATCCTTCTTATCAATCTTCACTCCTTCGTTTCTTTCTTTTTATCTGTTATTCTTATTTTTAGTCATTCTCCAATTCAATAATTATAAACTTCTTCAGCAATCATTCTCATTTCTCTTTAGAATCATTACTTCTTCTCTTCAATGATTCCTCTCTTTGATTATTTCTCTTTCCAGTTATTCTTCTCTCCTTTCTTTTCACCGTCCTGGGTATGACGATAAACTACATTGACATCCTGCGTAAGACAATAAACTACATCCGACAGCAAGGCCTCTGATCAGGAGGATTTGAAGAGGGTGGAACCACATCTTAATTACTCCCAAGGTCCACCCTGACCTGGGGTAGTAGCACCTGTTGGGGTCCCAGCTATGGGCGAGTGGTTAACACCCAAAGTACTATGAAGGTGTAGGAATTGGGTTTTAATACCAGAAATACTTTGTATAAAAAAATTATTAGCAGCAATACATTTTTTGAAAAAAAAAAAAAAAAATATTACCAGTGGAGAAAAATTCTTAGTAGAAATAGAGTTTTGGAAAAAAAATATTACCAACAATGAAATTTTTGTCAGCATTAAATAACCCATTGAAGTTGAAATGTTATAAAACAAACCAAACCAAACCAAACCAAAATCTTTCTTTTCAAATGTTATTTTTTCCTCTTCAATCATTGTTCTTTCAGTTCTTCTTCATTCCTCTCTAGAATCATTCTTCTCTTCATTCCTCCCTAGAATCATTCTTCCCTTGAATCATTCCTGTCTTTATTCCTCTCACTATTCTTTCTCCTATTCATTCTTCTCTTCAGTCATTCGTCATTTCATTCTTGTCATCATTCGTCACTTCTTCTCTTTAACCATTTTTCTCTTCATTCATCTTTACTCTTCATTTGTTCTTCCTTTCTTTTCTTTATACATTCTTCTCTATGTTCTTCTCTTAATTCTTCTTTCACTCCTCCTTCTCAAATTTCTTTCTCACTCATTCATCTCTTAATTCTTCTCTTCATTCAATCTTTGTCATACTTCTCTTCATTTTTTCCTTCAATCACTATTCTCTTAATTCTTCTCTTCTCTCATTCATCTCTGTATTCTTCTCTTTATTCATCTCTATTCATTCTTCTCTTGAATAATTCTTATCTTCATTCTTCCCTACAATCATTCTTCTCTTCATTCATTCTTCTATTCATTTTTCATTTCACTCATTCATCTCTACATTCTTATCTTTATTTGTCACTTCATTCATTCTTATCTTCAATTTTTATGCATTCATTCTTCTCTTCATTCTTCTTGTCATTTTTCACATCATTCATTCGTCTCTTCATTCATCATCTCTTCAATCATTCTTCTTTACGTTCATTTTCTCTTTATTCTTCTCTTCATCTTCTCTTAATTCATTCTCCTTTTCATTTTTTCTTCCCTAATACTTTTCATTCATCTCTTCATTCATTCTTTCCTTCAATCATTTTTCTTCATTCATCTTTCACTTCATCCATTCTTTTCTGTAATCATTCTTTTCTTCATTCTTTCTTCTCTTCATTCAATCATCTCTTCATTATTTACTTCTCCTAATTCTTTTCATTCTTTTCTTCATTCTTTCTTTGCTTCAATTATTCTTATCTTCATTCTTCTTTTCAATCCTCTCTTCGTTCATTCTTTTCATCAATCATTGTTTTTTCATTCATTCTTTCTTTCAATCATTCTTCTTTTCTTTCATCCTTTTCTTCATTCATTCTTTTTTCTCTTCTTTCATTTTTCTCTTCATTCTTCTCTTCATTCTTCTCTTTATTCTTCTCATAATTCATTCTTCTTTTCATTCTTCCCTTCATTCATTCTTTTCTTTAATCATTCTTTTTCCATTCATTCATTCTTTTCATTCATTCTTTTCTTCAATCATTCCTCCCTTCATTCTCTTTAAACATTATGTCTTAATCCTAAACATTAAAGGAAAATTACATCTGCATAATATTTTTCATTTTCTGCCTTACAGAAACAGCAAAGTTATTTGTAATTTAAATAATCAGATGGAAAGATTTGCCTTTTCAAATGTAAGTAATTTTAAAGAACAATGTACACCTGAAGATGCCATTCGGTGCTGTGAAGCTAACAGAAATCATTCTACTTCCAGTTTCAGTAGGATTCAGCAAAAAAGAATATCAAACCTCAAAAATTCTAAAATTAAATTTCTTTGTCTTCTAAACTTCACCTAATACGAGGCTTCAGAACTAACCATGGTCGAGGATTGCTGAATGAGGTGTGTGTTATGAACATAAGAAGAGATAGAAGAAAATGAAGATCATGTGGATAAGGAGAATAAACAGGAATTGGCCCTTAAACTGATGAGGTTAAGATTGTAGGGTTCAGGGAAGAGTTGCGGGTGCTATATTGGTTTGCAAATAGATATTGAATGATGGAAAACAACAACGAACAAAATAAAAACTTCAGTAAAAATATATATTGCCGAGTTTTTTTTGTTAAAGAAAATACATTGACAAAAATAAGGTTACAGTGTATGACACAAAACATATCTCTGCATGTTCATGCAGAGGGTGAGAAGGGTGTTTTTCTCTAAAGAACAGTTTCGGCAGTCATTGAAGAAAGTTTTTCCCTGTCCTGTCTTTTCCCCGTCCAGTATTTCCACTTCATTTCACAGGGTCTGATGATCACCCCTTTTCATACATGATCAGCCATGCCTAATTTCATTGCCTCACCTTTCATTAGAGCTTTCTGATGTTCCTCCAGCCTTACTTTTAGGGGATGGCTTGTTTCACCTTTAGATTTTCTATCACAATGGCAAGGAATTGAGTACACACAATTCTTGGCCATATTCTCCTATGTGTTAGGCTTTACTTGGCAGAGATTTCTCCATAGAGTGGAACTGCTTCTGAATATTGTCCTTTAGGTTACCCAGATCAATATACACCTGAGAAAAGATGGAGGGCACAATGACAGAATCATTGTGATAAAAAAGGTAAAGATGAAGACAATAGTCCAAATAATGTAAATAATTTAGTAATAAACGAAAATAAAGTGAACTGTTTTTTTTTTACTTAGTTTATAAGAAAATGCACGTTAATGACTGGATTCACTATATGAGGAACAATTATTGAGAATAACTTGCCCATTATTATTCCATGGCAGGTATCCAAGACCTTAACGGTACAAAAAATAAGAAAAATATTCATCAGTTTCCAAGCTGTTACAGTGATTACTTAGAGTAAATAAAATGTCTATACTAATTAAGAAGAAAGTGATTGCAATCAACAGAATCAGATTAAAATGGAAACTTTCCCTAACGCAAACAGATGAGTCTTTGATCAGGAAATGACGAGTCATTATTACTTGAGATTTTTTAAATTAGTTTTTTTAAGAAAAAAAAAACAAAAAAAAAAACAAACTACAATAACTTATTGCTTTTCGCACGTATTGATAAGTTAGTTCTCCAAACTTTTTCCTGGGGAATGTCTGATCTAAAAGCCTTTTGTAGCATCTCTGTGTAAATGGCACAATGAAACCAGAAGAGAAGTTTAGCATCAATCATGAAAAGTATATAATTCATAATAATTAATATTCATATGCAATTTCCATTCAGGAGGTAGTTGATTAGAGCTCTCCACAGCTTCCTATCATTTGTAACTCTAAGCTATATTTGTCACTTTACAACACCCTGGTCTGCCATCCAGTTACACATATTTTATTAAGTAGTTTACTCATGGTTTCACCCAGACCATCTTTTCTTCAAGGGTTTATGGCCAGATCATGTTGAAATACCAGTTCCCATAAAATCCCTGAAGTTAAGCAATGGCAAACCTAATCAGTACTTAGATGGGTGACCCTTTAGGGATACCATGTGATGTAAGCTTGGATGTGGGGATGGTGTAATGGATAATAGCTCAGAATTGTTAATCGGTCAACTGAGTTCTAATTCCAGTTGGGTTCGTTATATTCACTTATGCACAAACAGCCTCGGGAAAAGTATGAACCCATCTCTTCTACCCCCAGCTATGGGTTAATTAGTAATTACTAAACCATTATTACCACTCCACACCAAAAATAATTCTTACAATCTAAAAATATTTTTTGGTTTTAAATAACCTGAAAAGAGTTGATAAGCCATAAAAAATGAATGAATCCATCAATTTTTCCCTCACATTGTCATGCGTGTTTCAAATTTTTAAAGTCCTCTTGCCAATTTTTGTGAGACAGAAATTTCAACTGTCTTTTTCTGATTCTAAGTTCAAGTTTCCTATTTGATACTAGTTTCCTTAAAACTTCCTCATTGTTTACCTGCTCTGTCCATGGTATTCCCCAGATTCTTCTGTAAAAAAATATATGTGTGTTGTTTCATTCCTTCTTCAGCTGTGAGGAAATTGTCAGGTGTTCACTGCTATACAGGAAGACTAATAATTCACAGCAGATCAGCACACTTTTCTTTGTTTCTAATGAAATTTTACTTTTTTTTAAACCTTAACTTATCTTTTGGAAGTCATCTTTTACTATTACTCTGTGACTTCAGATTTTGGTGTCACATTTTCTGACCTCTGTTTAACTTCTTCCCAGATATCTAACTTTTTTTAGTTGTTTGTTTTTAATACCTCTAATATCTTGAGGTGTTACTCTTGCTGACAACAGTTCATTCTGTCTTCTGCAACTAATAGTCTTTTCTTCCCTCTTTCCTTTACAATATTTTCTAAGAGTTCTTGCAGTTTTGTTTCTGTTTTTGCTATCAAAACTGGATCATCAGTATATATTATGTTGGTAAGATTGTGCCCATGAAAAATAAATTTTGGTAGGAGTTCTAGTTCTCTTAGCATGGTATCAAGTTCAGAATTGATTCGGAATCAAGTAAATATATGGCAGTGAATGCTTGACAATTTCAACACAGATGAAGAGGAAACTTGAAGTGATAGAAATGTATGGTTATCAACAAGAGGAACAGTTCAAGATGTGTGCTATGAATAAATCAAACAAGTAACAAAGTTTAATTCCCTGGGGAATGTTAAGACAGAGGATGGAAAATGTGACATTTAAATCTGAAGGCAGATTGGAATAATAAAAGATGCCATCCAAAAGCTAAACAGAGAAAAGATTACTGAACTGTGATGCAATATCAGTCCTCCTATATGGCACTGGGGATATGCTGTTAAAAGCAAAAGTTTTCTCTTGAATGAAATGAAATAAAACAGAACCAGAAGTATGTCATTTCAGAGATTCTTATTGGAATCAAAAAATACGTTTTTTTTTATTCCAGTACTTCTTCATGTGCTTTATCACTTCATGTGGACGTGGATGATTATGGCCCTTGACAATTTCCTATTTCTAGCTCTTAGCAATGTCTGTCTTTTTATTATATAATATATAATGCAATTATATTGCTAATAATTTTACAGTAAAAATGCATTGAAAATCAGGAAGAAAGGGATTTTCAGTGGTCAGGAATTAACGCAACTGATTTTATTTTTACAATGATGTTCAACCTGTACAAGGCCCGAATGTCACTCAAGGTAGAGAGTTAAAACTTCATCATTGTTTACATGCTCTGTCCATGGCTTTTTCCAGATTCTTCTATAAAAAAAATATCTGCATTTTTCATTCCTTCTTCAGCTGTGAGGAAATTGTCAAGTGTTCACTGCTATACAGGAAGACTTCATGTTAACACAAATGTTGTAATAAATATGGTGACAAAGATGAGGACAATAGTCCAAATAATGTAAATAATGTACATAATACCTCATCTTAGAAATATAGACAGCACTAGTGATATACTAATAAATTGACCTTGGTTCTCCATTATATAAAAACTGAACTGCATTTATTTCTTTTAATTTTATGTGCTATTCAAGACATGGATGTTCATTGCTCTCCACAATTTGTCTTTTACTGCTCTAAGGAAATTTTACCTCTTTTTCAACTTTGTTTTTTCTTGTTCAACTATCGATTACCTTAATATTATGTAGGTTATTTATTGTTTCTCTTGCCTTCAGTATGTTGTATGAGTTTTAAATTCTCCAAGCCCTCTTTTCTTATTCTATGCTTTTGTGAATTATTTCTTGTGAATCAAAAAAAAAAAAAAAGGCAAAAGGTTATTCAATGAGACATCTCTGTGAAAATTCCTTAAAGTCTGTTTTCTTTTTTAGAATAAGAAAACAATAATTATTTTTTGTAAAAAGCAGATGTAAATCAATCACAAAAATTCAGATTGTTTTTTTTTTTTTTTTCAAAAGAGAAGAAAAGACAATGATCTATAATCAGGTAAATTTTGAAATGCATTTTCTGTTTGTTGTCTTCAGAGAAACAAGATCAGCAGCATATTGCGAATATGAGTTTCAGACTAATCAATAAAGTTGAGAAGTGTTATTCTAGCAAACTTATCATTTCAATGTTCCTGGCTTCTGGGTTGCTGATATAATTATGACAGTACACAATGTTTATGAGAAAACTTGGCTGTCTATCTCCAGCTAAAATGTTAGACATACACTTGCATACATATATGCTCTATGTAATATATATATATATATATATATATATATATATATATATATATATATATATATATATATATATATATATATATATATATATATATATACATATATATATATATATATATATATATATATATATATATATATATATATATATATATATATATATATATATATATATATATATATATATATATATATATATATATATATATATATATATATATATATATATATATATATACATATATATATATATATATATATATATATATATATATATATATATATATATATATACATACATATATATATATATATATATATATATATATATATATATATATATATATATACATATATATATATATATATATACACACACACACACTGTGTAACGAATTATTAATGAGGTGACGATTTTCCAGTTTGCCCAAAAACTACATATTGGAATTTAACAAAATTTTCACAGAATGATGGCAACAGTTATATGCATGTGCCCTGTAAAAAGTGTAAAGTTCCGCAAAAATATACAAAAACTATGGTCATTTACCTAATTTACTTAAATTATTACTGTTCCAAATTATTAGCGAGGTGTAATTAAAACTCATGTAAATAAGAAAATAATGCTATAATTGCTTCATATAATGATTGTTATGGATATATACAGTAACTGACTTAAAATAAATAGAAATCAACAAGAATACAGAGTTCAAAAATCATAATGGAGCTGGTTAATAAAGGATATGTGATCCTGTTCTTGAAATGACATGGATAAAGCACTTATCCATGGAACATGTCAGTTTCTGAATCTCCTCTGATGTAATTTCACATGATAAATTCCTTATTGCCTGCCACAAGTCTTCCTTCCTTCTAAATTGGCGTTCATTTTCATAAACCCATTACTTCCGATTGCCTGACAAATTTTTGATTGGTTTTAAGTCTGGAGAATTGACCATCCAGTTCATTTTCCGAGGTCAACACAAACCTAATTTATGCAGGAACTCCCTAGTTTTTATGCACTGCATGCAAGGGAGAATTATTTTGCATAAATAAGATGGTTTTCTTCAGAATGATCTATTGCTTTTTAACCAAGGCTATATAAGCATCTGCAGTCATTTTCATACCGTCAGGCACTTTCCACAGATCAACCATGATAACTTCAATAATACCAGCCCAAACCAGGATAGCAGCTCTTCATTGTTGGCATCTAAAGCATTCATGATGATGTTTGTTTACAACCCAACCTTTGTCCCAACTGTCAGGGCCATCAGTGGTAGGAAGAGATTCATCTGTGAACAAAACCTTTAAGAAGTTGACCTTCATGTTATCATCTGCCCATTTCAGACACACTTGTATGTCTTTTTGTCAATGTAGGCATTGGTCTCAATAATTTCTTAGCCTTTTTCAGAAGATGACATCAAGTAGTTCTGGACACAGTTGTTTCTCCAATTTGCCTGAAAAGTTCTCTGCTGGTCAGGCCTGGGTTATTTACAGCTTCACATTTAATTTGTGACAAAGAACATTGGAAAACAACCCTCAAGTGACCCATACCGGCCTTTTACATACCTAAGTAAGAGCTGCAATAAACTTTTTCACAGTTTGGTGATATCTTCCAATCATTTTGGATATTTCTGATGTTGATTTACCTTTTGAAAGTTCAGATGTTATAACAGACTTTTCAGAAGCGATTAAGTCAAAATTGCGACCTATAATTGCACAATTATGAAGTCACTCATTTAGAACACTGAAGTATTGTGTTACTCATGCAAATGGCTGTGATTTGCTTGCACTTGTGCAGAATCTTACAGCATTTACACAGCATGTGCATATAACTGTTGCCATTATTCTGTGAAATTATTGTTAAATTCCAATGTGTACTTTTTGGACAAAATGGAAAATTCTCACCTCATTAATAATTTGTTACACAGTGTATATACAGGGTGTGATGAATTTTTCTCATTTTAACAGATATATTTACTAAAATTACACAAAAATATCTTGAAATACTAAAGATTAAAATTGCTGTTGGCTACAACCACGGCCTCCAGATGACTTCAGAATCTCCTGCAATTCTTCTGGGCAGTCTCCTTGTATAAGTTGGTGAATGCTGCTATAATACTTGCCTTCAGTTCATCTTTAGTATTACAAGGTGTTTTGTTGGTCACTCACACAACTGCACTCCACACATAATAATCAATTATAAATATAAAGAGGGTTGCAGTCTGGGGAGTTAGGTGATCAGATGTAAGGGGTAATGTGGTTGCAGAAATTTTCTGGTAGCCATGACTGGTTTCTCCTGCTTGTGCAGATTGGTGCAGAGTCCTGTTGCCAGACATAGTGTCTTCCAGCAGCCACCCTTTTGACCCAGGGCA